TTGTTATAGCGTAAGTTGTTTAGCTATTCGGACACAGCAGTAGAATCAATACAATGCAAAAACGACCGCTATGGATGTTAATTTTCGTCCATCGAGATTTGACCTGAAAGTATTTAAATTAAAATGTTTAAAAGAATACTGAAGCTGCTTAATATGGTCCAGAGAAAAGAAAACCTCTTCTTTTAAGGAAAAGCTCATTGATAATACTTAAATAGCACAAATTTTTTTCTTTCATCCCAGCTTTAATTAACCGGCATCGCTCTTCAATAATTTCATTAGTTTCACGGCCTCTCTTCAATGTTAACAGAAAGATTAATGTGCGTAAGGATTATGTCTCGAGTTTCATTCCATGATTCGAATGGAAGTGAGTGGAACTCCGACCTGGTGCGTGACTCTCGGATGTTGCGTAGTAGAAGATTCTATGAAAATAATGTAGAAGCTAACGAATCTTGCAATTGAAGTTTGATGTGAGAAGAAGAAGTTACCAGAAAAATCAACGGGAAACAGTAAAGAACACTAGAGATTATCGTGGTTTAGTCTGAGTGTCGGTATCAACTCCACGGGATTAACCAACCGCCAAGAAATCCATTATGTGATGTAGCTAGCAAGGATCACCTAGAGGGGGGTGAATAGGTGATCTAAAATAATTTTTAATAATTTATGCGGAAACAAAATAAATCACAGAAGAGTCTGAATAAAATTCAGATTCAAGACAGATTATGTAGACGGTGCTCTTGATGTGTAGAATGTAAAGTAAGAGATAAGGGATAGAGAATCTGCACACAAGTTTATAGTGGTTCGGCTTATAGCAAGCCTACGTCCATTCTCCCACACTTACAGCCTACTGGCTGGATTTCACTATGTAATCAAGAGGAATTACAACTTCTGAGTGTTAACACTCTTGTGTATGATAGGACTCTCTATCTCACACAATCACTCTTACAAAGTGTCCCTCAAGATCTTAATGTTTTGCTCGGAACGACAAGAGAAATGATTGGAGTATGCTCAGACTTTGGACTTGTTGATTCTTGATTCTGTTCTTCCTTCTGCTGCTCGTTGATCCTCTTAAATACTCCTCTACTAGCCGTTGGACAACTTTCGGAGGATCATCTTTCAATCTTCACCTTGGACAGATTTGTATAATAAGGATTGAGTAGCCGTTGGATGACAGATTCTGAATCCCGCTGATTCTGGTCGCCCATACAATTAGAATCTTGGTTTCCATAAGTAGAGCTTTGTCCGTTGTAATGCATTCTTGTCATGATGTTTGATTGTCAATCAATTTGATTCAGATTGAGACAATCAGAACATTCCTTCTGTGAAATCCATGCCATATCACTAGCTGTTGTGTTACGTTCTGAATTCTGCGTCTGAAGAAATTCTGCGTCTGCATCTGAAGAACTTCTGCGTCTGCGTCTGAATAATTTCTTCGTCTGCATCTGCATCTGAATAACTTCTGCATCTGAATCTCAGAACCTAGATTATGTGGGTCTTCAAAAACATACTTGACAGTTTGTAAAGTCTGAATAACTTTCTTCTGAGCTTCCAGAATATACAGACCTGGAATAAATTTGTTCAGAATAAGTATCAGATTTACAATAACTTAGAAGGTTTTGTCAACTTCAAAATCAATAGGAGTTTTCCTCAACATTATGAATCCGGAGAATACAAAGTTTAAATCATTCAAGTGCTTCGCAGTTCCAAATTACACCTAAAATAAGACCCACAAGTGTTATCTCATAATTTCTCATAAAGAACTCACTTAGAAAACTCACAAAGAGAAAACCCTAAACATTCCTCTTGTTTGCTTTTATGTGCTGAAAACCGAAATCCACCTCTTATATGTATAATATTTGTATCCAAAATAGGAAACCCCTTTTAGCATACTCAAACTAGGAATCCCACTTCATCGAGGACTTGTTGTTGCTTCATATGTTCGGTCTACCAAAGTTCAATCAAGACTTTCCTAATTTCAATCACATGACTGGGCTTTATTCACAAGTTCAAACTCGAGACATAATTTATAATTCTCCATCTTGACTTGATGTTTGTAGCCAAGTCATAGTACTCATCATCCATACCGGCTATCTCAATGCCCCAATGGGCGCTCAACCATCACAAACCTCTATCAAGCCCAACCTCACTCGAGATTGTCTAGAGGAATGAACTCATTACATATATCCTTTGGACTCTTTGCCGCAAGAAACTTCTTCATAGTTACATCCTCTCCTGATATGTTATTTTCAACACAAAAATATTGGTAATCAATGAACTCAATTCTACCTTAATATCCCTAGCTTCCATCGAGCACATAAACAACCTGGTGTCCTAGCCAACATCACAAACCAAGTCATCTGACCACACCGCCTTGTGCTTAGGTTGTTTTATGTTTTGTACAGAGTGCTAAAGCAGCATGCAAAGATTAAAGCTGAGTTGAAGCCATGAAGTCGCTGGTTCTGAAACTAGCATTATTATGTAATTCATGAATGGAGACAAACATGGAGGATGGGAATCTCAAATGTTGTAATTGTTAGGTTAGGGAAAATGACACAAACAGTCCCTGAACTTTGACTCAATGTGTAATTTGGTTAATGAACTTTTAATTTATTTAATGTAGTCCTTAAACTTTAACTCAATGTTCAATGTGGTCCCTAAACTTTCAATTTATTCAATGTGGCCCCCGAACTTTTGGTACATATTCAATATAGTCCCTGAACTTTATAAATTTGTTCAATGTAGTCGAAGATAGAAGATAAAAAGGGTTAGCACACTTTTCTTGTATGATACTCGTCATGATCTTGTCAAGATACATCAAATTGATAAAGCCAAAGTCGACAGAGAATTATTAATGTTAAATTGTGTCACGAATTAAACAACGTGGCCGTGTGATTTAAAATGAGGAATTGATTGGACTTTTGGTTGACAGAATATATGAAGCAGCAAAAAATTCTTGTTGGAGTTGAATTTCTAGTTTGAGGCGGCTAAAAGGGATTTCCTGTTTTGGATACAAATATTAAAAATATAAGATGTGGCTTTTAGATTTAGCCCATTAGAGCAAATAAAATGAGTGTTAGGATTTTCTCTCTATGAGCTTTATGGGTGGCATTCTTTGTGACAGATTGTGACGTAACAATTATAGATTTTCTTTGGGTGTAAAAGGCTTGAACGATGCAAACTTTTTATTCTCTAGATTCATAGTGGATTTCTTGAGAGTTGACTCTCTCCGTGAAGTAGGTACCAACAATCGGACTAAATCACGTAAATCTCTAATGTTCTTTATAATTCATCATTGATTTATCTAGTAATTTCTTTTTCTCACTTTAGATTTAAATTGCAAAATTTGTTATTTTCCATGTTATTTTAAAACAATCAAAATGGATAAAGGGAAATGTCACGCTTTCTTTCGACGATTAATGATTATATCATTCCAAAATACATATGATACTCTCGAGCATCAATAATCCCCATGAGAGTATATATTAATGTGAAAGGAGACAAAAATGCAATGGGGAATTTTCGTCCTAGTATTGTTTTCACGAAGAAGACTATTCCAATGCATGAAGACAAAAGAAAAGGAATCTCTTCTAGTAGTATAGTATTGCTGAACAAGCCCATAGACAAACGGCTCTGCTGGTAAAGGGATTGAGGGGTGGACTTGCACTCGTTTTATGACTTTTCTCCGAGAGACACGACATTATAATTTCTGGAGACAAGAAGGGTCAAAAACCAGCTACTTAATACAAAAACCCTCTTGCTGATAGCTAGAGCCATATTTGAAACAGTCTTTGAACCACGGCAGGCAGAACACTCCTCTCCCAGGCAGCGCAAAGGTATGCAAATCCGCTAAAGTAATGCTTATCAAAAGCAAGAGTACTCTGGTTTTAGTTTCCTTTGTTTATGTCAACTCGTTAAACTAGATAGTGGGATTTATTAGCATATGGTTTGCAGACTAGAGGAAAGGTGGCAGTGATCACTGGTGGGGCGGGAGGCACAGCAGAATGTACGGCAAGGCTATTCTCGAAGCATGGTGCTAAAGTCATTATAGCCGACATTCGCGACGACTTGGGCAAGTCAGTGTGCAACAATCTGTGGCCGGACACCACATCCTTTGTACATTGCGATGTATCAAGCGAATCCAACATTGTAGATGCCATTGACACTACAGCTGACAAGCATGGGAAGCTGGACATAATGGTGAGGGTTGCTGCAACGGGGGACCCTGTCAAAGCCAACACATTGGACAACGACAAGGCCGACTTTGAGAGTGGTTGGCGTGAATTGACAGCTGTTTTCTTTATGGACCAAGCATGCAGCTTGAGCCATGATCTTGTCACGAAGAGGAAGCATCATCAATGTCGGAAGCGTCTGCTCGAGCGTGGGTGGGGTTGCAACCCATGCATACACCAGCTGCAAGCACGCCGTCATGGGGCTCACAAGGACCGTGGCTGTGGAGCTCGAACATTATGGAATTCGCGTCCACTCTCTAACTTTATATCATTCTATCACCAAAGAGAATGGGGTTTTTAAAAACTGTCCAGAATAGAGAAGCCCGAGTGTATTCTAACTTGGATGGGGTGACTCTCCAGGAAGAAGATGTAGCGGAGGCTACTCTGTCTTTGGGGAGTGATGAGTCCAAATACATCAGTGGCCACAATCTAGCAGTGGATTGAGGCTTCACCACCATCAATCCCGCCTTTGGCTTGTTTGCTCGTGCTTCACAAAAAAAAACCCCTCTTCGTACCATTATTGTTGTACCCCGCATGTCTTTCGAATTTGTACCTCGGATCGGATGAAAATTTATATGCCAAATAAGTTCACGAAAGATTGTTCCGATAACATGTCTGATCTAGGGCCCAAGTTGGTCGAGCAAAGTTACACAGCCCCCATCATTAGTAGAAGGTGCTGGCCCTAAATATTTTGGACCTCTAGGCAATCTCGAATCCTGTATTTAGATTCGACAGACTGCAATCATCAATTTAATTAGCAAGCACTTTTCTTGAAGTCTCCAGTGTAGCAATTGAAAAGAGAATACAGGCCATACGAAATTGGGAATACACATCACGTAAATGATCGGTACTAAATGGAAGGTCATCAGTGTGGTACATAGACTACCCCATATAAGATATAGCCGAGCTCTTCTTGGAGCTGATGCCAGAGGCGTGCTGTGGCTTGGCATCACTAGCTGCAGACTTTTGCGGACCCATCTTTCAACACCGAGCTCCTTAATGCAAGTTTCTTTCAGGGCATACACCTGGAAAAAACAACAAACATGATTTCATTGTTGTTTCAGCCGATTGGAACTTATCTGGGTAGCTGTATAAATACAAAAGAGGGTGCGCAAGGACTACGCCATAGGTGCTCCGAATGTTTTGGCAATGGTAGGAAGAATCTCTCCAGGCTTCCCTCATCGAATAAGCAAATCAAGACCCCGCATCACCAAACTCCTTTTCAGGCCGTCCAAACACTCAATGAGCAGCTGTTCTCTCAAAGCTGCCAAACAAAGAAAATAGCACAACTTTGATCCTTTATCAATCAGAATCATTTTGTCATCACTTATATTTCCACATGAGCAACAATAGCAACAGGGTAAGCATGCATATTCAATTTGGTAGGAATACCGAGAGTGATGAATCATGGAGTCAATAAAGGGGTTTAGATTGGAGCATGGGGAGTGCATATCAATGGGGCTTTTGTTGGTGCAGGGAAAGAGCATAGAGAGATAAAAGACGATGATCTTTTACCTCCAGTTTTGGGGAAGCCAAAGTAATGGGTGGTGGCAAAGTGGTGGGGATTGAGGCAATAAACGGGCAAGACAGGCTCAGAGGAAGACCAGGTCTGGAACAAAACCTCGTTGTCCAACACCCTCGGATAGTTCCTGAACCACAGAATCACCGTCCCCTGGCCCTTCCTCTTCGCATCGTTATTACGGTAGTATCTGTCCATGGTCTTGTCTGCAATCTGCTCTATTTTGTCGGCATTCAGTGCAGGTACGTGGAAAAGTCTTGCTGCTTCAGGCATTGATTCAGAATCTTCAGAAGAAGAAGAAGAAGCCCTTGTTGTTGGGGAATGAAGAGAGAGCTTGGATCTTGATGTGTTGAGGAGGTGTCTCAGTTCAAGACTTGGCGGGAATGGTGAGCCTGGAGATCAAGACAGCGCCTGCCGTTTCCTCTTTCGCACAGAGATAGGCGATAGACACCTTGACACGTAGGCACGCATTTTGTCGTGACGTGGTCTTGTGCAATCCACTAATGTTAACGATTCTCCATCAAGTGAGCGGGTCATTACTTGCTGGAAAAAAAAGATCCAACTGTTTTTCTGTGGTGACCGGGCACAAAATGCAACAAAAACCCACATATTGATCAATGTGACCTTTTCCTTTATAAAAAGAAATTACTGTACTACTTTAGATTGACTTATCAATACAAGGAATATATTTATGCCAAAGAAAAAAACAAAGTGGATGTTTTACAATTGAGCACGACACATTACAAAAGTCAACTCCATTAGATTCCGACTACATTCTACACTCGGTTTTGTAACCAGCGAGTCACTGAATCTCTCCCAGTTTGTCCTTAATATTGACAGGGAAAGGCGAATGAAATAAAGCATGGAAGGCAGTTCTACAGCTCCATGCACTCTGTTGAACATTTCTTCCACTGTATGTATGTTCCTGCGGAAGATGAACCGTACACCCAAATTTGTAAGATTGCGGGGGTGTTATAGGGAACCAATGACAAGTCCAGCTTTGAGAATGGTGCATTACTTTAAGCCTATGAAATTGACATAGATGTAAGAATGCATAAAATGCACAGAACAGAAAGAGTGCGCACTACATGAGTAGCAACATCAGATACAAAGGTGGAATGGCTAGTGATGGTACTTTTTCCCCTTCAGGATTGTCCATGAGCTGAAAACAAAAGAAGAAAGCATTAATTATTTACCATGAGCAACCAACATAGAGCATGATCAAGAATCAGATGACCGTTTGTCTTTATGGTAACACAGCACCGTGTAATGTGCAGGTGTTATTTACCCAATAACCATTACTTCAACTGTTTGGACCAGTAGGCATCAACAACTCTTCAACTATCATATTATCGCTAAACTGACAGTAACAATAATTTCTGGATACTACTGACCCATGAGAAAGATGTGAACATGGTTGCTCCATACATAAATTTGATAGGTAGAGCATCCAACACTATGGAAAAGTGACAATAAATACACCTCAGCGTGAGATTTATCATCCATCAGGTCAAATGACAGGTAAATTAGGTGAATTTTTCTGGGGACATTTTGTGATGCAAGTTTCACCACTATCCATTATTGGAAGAATAATAAGTATTGTGCAAGAGCAGAATAGCTGCTTTGTCTCCCACCAAACAACTCACTTTATCTTGATTTTTATATACAGTTTGGTTTTGCTGCTACAAGCTTGGTGAATATTGTTTTGTCAATGAACTTCAGCAAGTTACCCTATGATAGACATTGATTGGAATTTAAAAAGAGAAGGTTAATCGTAAGGTCCAATAGCATAATGAACCATTACTTTTGCTCTGATAGTTCTTGCAAAGAACTTGTAGAGCTGTTCCATAAGCACAACAAGTGCAATTTGTTGATTCAACACCAGGGAAGATGACTAGATCGATACATTGCCACGTTCTCTTAATTTTGGTCCATGACTATAAGGTCCACCGATGCAAAATGATAGCTTTGAAGCTCCCTGAAATATCAAAAGGAGAAATGACTCCAAGCAAGTTTCATTCATGCCTGAACCAAGCAACATAACATCACTGAGATTATAATAATAACAATACTAACTTAATGGCAAAGAAGGAGTACAGAAAGAATTAGCAAAAAAATTGCAAGTCCTACATGGGACTCTCTAATTTATAGCAATACATGTCATGTCATAGAAAGCCTGAAATTCATTAGATACATTCTACATATGAAGACGATCAATGGAATTTTCTACCATCTGTTCCAACTGGGACTGTATGATGATGGTCATATTCCTATAAAGATCTAAAGGATGCAAACTGAAGCAGGAATTCATACCTTATCCACAGTATCGCTGATCAACTCAGCCATCTCCTCTGACTCAATATCTATCCTGTGCTCATCCAACAGCACAACCTGATAAATATGAAAGTATAACATAAATTGAGCCTTGAGATTTTCATCAAAATTTCTTTAATTTGGTCAATTGTTCCACTTGAATATCACAGTTGGACTCCAACCAAATAATGACCAATCATGAATAGTTATGTGCAGCCATAAATAGTTCAATGCAGACATTACACCACTTACATATCTTTCACAATAACCAGGTTGCACTTAAACACGCGAAGAGTGTGGAAAAAAACATCACATACAATCTAGAAGAAAATGAGCTACTGTTTCATTATAGAGCACAATATTGCTAAGGGCTTCAGTCATTCCCACTTTAAAAGATTGATTAGGAACATGAATTGGCTCTGTGATTGAAATTAGAGTAATGCCCAATCATCAGGTCTGATAAGACTACCATATCTTCATTGACAATTTGAGCCTGCTTCTAACTGCAAAAGAGCTAACTCTGTCATCGCCAACGGTGCCGTGTGCACCAATCCCAAAAGAAACTTTTTTTCTTCTTCATGTTTGGGTTAACAGAAATTCAACAGCAATTAGTAGGCAAGCAAAATACATTGGCAAAATGTTTCTTACAAGGGAAAATGAACTTCCTTTTTCATCTTGCTCATCTCCGAATCCCCATATGCTTGATTGCTTCCTGATCTCAATACCGGTGACTAGCAAATGGCCACGGCTCCGTGGCCATCACTATTGGTCTCAAAACCAGCTCATGAGTGTTGGATGGAGGAAGATATTATCCTCGTGTGAGAATAAGATGGTTTGGTTGCTCAATGTGAAGGGGTTTGATCTGGTGGTCAATGTGATGGCATCATTCAAAAGAAGAAAGCCCTCAGATTTAGCATTCCATGTCATCTCGGTAGTTTTTCAATCTTGATGCCTCTGCTGGCTTTTCCGTTTTCAGTTCTCTCTTGAATTTTTCATCCCAACTCAAGTAGTAAGTTCCCCCATTGCTTGAAGACGCTCAGGGGCATTGCATATTCCTGACTAATACTGCTTAGTTATTCCCAGGCCTAAGTAAATCATACTTATTAGTTGATACATTGGTAATTTCTGATTCCCCTTCCTCTGCAACTTGTCATTGACATATTACTCCTGACAATGTTATTGACATTGACTGATGTGCCAAGAAAGATGTATGCATTTATTGTTATGGACAGAAGTTTACTATATTCAGTTATTATGTGTCCGCTTGACTTGCTTATATTTGTTAATAACCAGTTTATGCCTTTCCTTAGCGTCGTCATTGAAGGTTATTGATGCTATAAGTGTAAATTAGACAGGCCCTGGTGATACAATTAAAGTTCTTCGGTCAATTATAGTCTTGTACCAGCTAATAGGTGGTTCCTAATTTGATTAAGAAAGTCGAACTCGAAATACTAAGTTGCCAACATAACCATATGAGGATGCGATTCAGGAGTTCAACCATTATCTGACTAATAGATATAATATATAATTTAGGGTTTACTGTTTATTTTTACTGTTCACCTTTGCCCTATATAAAGGGACTTGTAGTTCTTATTCAAGCAAGGTAAATACATAAATTCACATATCTCAACTTGGTATCAGAGCTGTAATAGCCCGAATTTCGATGTAATTCCGGGATCAATAAAATTGTCAATATTTCGCATTTCATTTTAGTAAGTCTCACCCAGAGCTGATCACTCTCGGGATACTAACCAATAGGGTATGGCTAATTAGAAAGAAGTACGTGGACCAAGGATCCGATCGCGAAGCGGACACCGATCACAAGAAATAATGAGAGAATATTATGAACCAATGTGGATCGATCTTAGGAAAGGTAACGGATTTGGTTTGGCCAAGGCCAACGATGTACAATCGAATTCGCAGGTGATTCTGCATGACCGAGAGTGCACGTGGCCAACCAGTCCTGAATTTAAACCGGACAATCGTGACCTCTAGGACTAGTGATAATTTCTCATTCTCTCAATGATCAGGACCGTCATGACTCGGATAACCCTAGGTCGATACGCGTAACCTCTAAACAGCCGCCCGTTAGTGAGAGACCCTGAAATTGAAAATTGAGCGAGTTTTGATCACGAAATTGGGCCCGGATTTCGATGTTGATTTTCGATGGCTTAAGAGACTATTTTTGGGAATCTGACGTCATATTATGCTGGCCACGCATATTTTGAGTTAGTATGGTTAAAAAGTGGAATTTCGGTCCGGGGTGAAAAATTACGGTTTTGTCCCTATGGGCACTGAGGCTGGATTCGGAGGCCGTTTGAGGTTATTTTTCGCGGCCAAGGTCATTTTGGGGTGGCCACGCACATTTAGAGTGGTTTTGGCCAAAAATTGGAATTTCGATAAAAATTGGAAAAATAATATTATTTTATTCCCGAAAACTTCGCAGTCGATTTTCAAGGGCTTAAAGGGCTGTTTTCGCGATTCCGACGCCATATTATGTTGGCCACACACATATGGAACACGTATGTGCGAAAATTGGAATTTCGCCCCGGGACCGGAAAAATGACGGTTTTGCCCCTGTCTCTCTCTCTCTCTCATCGCTAGCCTCTGTGCTTCTCTTGACTAGATAGCCTCATTTAGTGTAATGGAAGAAACCAGCGTACCCCTTCAACCTCCAACTTATGGAAACTTTATCACGATTCTCAGCATTGATGGTGGAGGGATAAGAGGGATTGTTCCCGCTACTATTCTAAGTTTCCTAGAGTCTGAACTTCAGGTATTAAACTAATGCTAATTGCTGCATGCATAGTTGATATAATTCTGATTTTCCAATACACCTGAATCTATTTTGTAGAAGCTGGATGGTAAAGATGCAAGGCTTGCGAATTATTTCGACGTGATAGCAGGAACAAGCACAGGGGGTCTTCTGACTGCCATGTTGACCAGCCCTAATGAAAAGAATCGACCCATGTTCGCTGCCAAAGACATCAAGGACTTCTACCTTCAAAATGGCCCCAAAATCTTCCCTCAGGACAGGTCTGAATTCAGTTGTCTTTTCCCCATCATCATGTCAGAAGCTTCTATGTATGATTAGTATTTCCTCGTGTACTCAAGATTCTAAGTTGTCCTGTCGATTCTTAATCAAATGTGTTGCAGTCGTCCATTTGCTCCTGTTACAAAGATGATGAAGACTCTAACAGGACCAAAGTATGATGGCAACTACCTTCATAGCCTCGTAAGGGAAAAACTAGGGGACACAAGGTTGCACCAGACGTTAACCCATGTTGT